GGTACCTATGTATCTGAAGCACTACCCATTCATTCTGTAAGCCTTATGGAAATAAAACATAGGAAATCCAAGCTCGAGTTGGCCTGCGCCAAACCGCTTTCAAATACCAATGGGGTTTCAAAGGAACCTCCCTTAGCTTCGAAGAGTCGCGTTGGGACATCTAGACGAACAGCGTCTGTGACTGATCACCTTGTCGGCACCCAACTCGACGAGGCATTGGCAAATGGCCAGGGTATCAGCTTTTTTCAGGTAGCATACAAACATTTCTACATCACCCACGCGGTCGAAATCGCACAGTGCCCTAGCCAGTGCAACATCCGGGGCAACGACAGGGCGGACGAGCTTGCTAAAAAGGCGACACAGCTAGCATGGGGACCTCCAATAGGAGCATCAAGAGCATTCGCTCTCAGACGAGCCATTGAAGGCCACCACTCAGACAGCATGGACCCGACATTGGCAGAGGGCGCCAAAGAAAGGTCGATAGGCAATCTCCAACAGAATCTTGCCGTCCCTAAACCCCACCAATCACTTCACCGAGCTCAAGGACCAAGGCGAGGTGTTCGGCCGCCTAGTCCAATGTCGCACCGGACACGCATACACAGGCGAATTATGCAGACAGCTCTTTCATGGGGAAAGCATAGACTGCGCATGCGGAGAGGACCTTCGAACCCGTTCACACATCCTAAGAACGTGCACCCGCTACACAAGCCATCGGGGAAGTCTACAGGACGAAAACCGCGAGATTGCCCTCCTGGAACTACTACGCACTTTCAAAGGAATTGCCGGCCTTACCGTATTCCTCGAAGACTCGGGCGCATTTACGTTCACCAGAGAGAAATTTACGCCCAAAAAGACCCTTCATTTATTTGATTAAAACACGTGTAACCCAATATACCTACAGATCGATCAAGTCGTACTCCATCTGTATAGCTCACCTGGAGAAGTTCTTGCTGGGTTCGACATCGACACCTCTTGCTGTCTGTATGATGGTAAATCTCATGAGATCCAGATCATGCCACACGGCTGACCGATGCTCAGGGAACCGTGTTTATGCAAACCCACGTTGCATAGTCTGCCTCGTGTCAGGCTAACATGGTCAATATGACCCCTCGCTCTCCGTCCTAGGAAGTTTGTCTCCCACTCCAAATGTGGTTTTGAGGTCTTCGTTCCCTCCCTCATTTGTGACAAGATCGATCCTACGGTGTTGCCCGAAACGCTTTGTTCTTAACTCCTTCTTTCACAGATATATAAACATTCAATCACGGTCATTGAACACCTAGTACATCTCCTTGTACTAGAGAAACTCCACGAGAACAACACAAGTAACAATTTATTGGGTTCTCACAAGGAGCTCCATAGACGCTCCAGCGCTATGGACGTGTTGCGGTATCACAAGAGAAGAAACACGATTTTAAAGTCGACATGTCAATCATGGTGACCGATTATGACGTATCCAGTATGGCCCAGCCCGGAAGGCAAGCAGGACCGAGAAATCAATACATCAAATGGTGCGTTTAAATTTTCTCCACGACCGTGAAGTTCTCTTTAACATTCAAGATGTCCTTCAGGATCTAGGAATGAGTTGTAAGATTTCATCTCACAAATCGCTAATATCCTCAGCCACCTTCAACTTAAGAACATGATAAGAGGATTGCACCGTCACCCAACGTTCTTTGGTACTGTGCAGGAATGTTTGGAAGACTTGCGAGGTAATGAAATGCGGCTTTCAATCTTCAAAACAGGTTCTACTTGTTTGTATGTATCCCAATTTTGCG